ATAATTTTAGAGTATCAGTACAGTGGGGGAGGGGGAGTTGAACTGTACGGGTCATAGGTCACATTTAAAGGTGGGGAAAGTTTTGAAATATTTTGTGGTATTTTAATAAGTGTTTGTATGTTTGGATGGATAGAAAGATCTCAAATGATAATAATAATAATAATAATAATGATAATAATGTATATTAATTAATTTGCTCAGTCCTCTGCACTTAATCCATTCACTCAGTGAAACAGTGGGCAGCTCTTGCTCAGGGGTACATCAGGGTAGCTGTTCAGTGGATTTGAACCCCCGACCTTCCGATCACGGGGCGAGCACTCTACCTATGGCCATGGAGTAGCAGAGCTGGGAGGTCCAGTGCTTCCATTCTGTGAGTGGTTTGCTGGTGGGTCAGTGATGGTGATCCATGGAGGAACACACCGACCTTTGAAGGCATGTGACTAAACACATGGGCGGCCATTCACATCACTGAGTATCACTTTGAAGAAGAAGGCTGTACTCTGGAAGGTCGACAGTGTCATGAACACGACCATCTGCCACAAGACCATCACCGAATCCCCGATTGGTCATGGGGTGCAACAAGACAATGGCCGTGAGCTTCAAAGCTGAGCAGATATACGTCTACAGACAAAAGGACGTCCTGGAACTGATGGACAAGTCAGAGTCTGGACTTGAGTCCTGTTGAAGAGGTTTGGTTTGAGTCTCTGGACCAACTGTTTGGACTCAGATCAGAATAAACACAACATGTTGTTTTCACTTTGCTGTCTCATTGACTGAGGCCTCTTCTTGTTGAAGTATAAATTCAGTGAATTCAACACTTTCTCATGAGTTCCTCCAACCACAGCCTGGTGTGATCACTGCAGGACGTTTCACTTAAATCACTCTGACAAAGTGAAGCGACTGAAGAGCAGATGAAGACCGTCTGAGAGCATGATTACCAACAACCCAACGTGGTGATGTGATGATGTGGTTCAGGACTGTGAAGGAACCATGAGGTCTGCTAACAGAAAGCCCTGAAGGAGAATATGTGAAGCCCAAGGGCACAATGATGTCCATCTCTGCATGGAGAGAAAGCAAGAAAACAAACAAAGTCTGAACTCCCATTCAGATACTTGGACATGACCTTAAACAGGCCTCATGCTCAGAAATCCTGCTGTAGCTGCATTAATGTACGTTGGAAGAAGAGTGGGCCATACGTTTGTCCTTCCCACTGTCGCCACGGTGCTGCTCAGAGGGGGTCACATGATTGTTGGTGTTTTTGTTATTAATGGCTCTACCTTACAATAGGTGCGGCGACTGTTGTTGTGATTTGGCGCTGTGTAAAAATAACATTGAGCTGATTATGTAACACACTGACAACGTTGTGCCTTTCTCTGGTTTTACAGATTCCCTACAAGCCCAGCTGATCAATATGGGGGTAATTCCCACTCTGGTGAAGCTGCTCGGCATCCACTCCCATAACACCGCCCTGACAGAGATGTGTCTAATTGCCTTTGGCAACTTGGCCGAGCTCGGTGAGTTTATGTACAC